TCAATCTGGACTTGCAGAACCCACGGGAAAACCGAACTGATAAATCTTTTTCTCTCATAATGTTCGCAAGTTCCCAGGCTTAATTGAGGAGATGCTCCTGGAAGCGTTTCCTAAAGGCATTTCCGGCGTCCAGCCAGACGAAGCCATTAGTTCTACCTGACCTCTCCCCCACCGAGTAAGGTGAGGATAAGCCGAAAAAGGCAGGTGGCTTCTGAGGGGTAAATGTGACACCAAAGTGTAGTGGAGCAACTCGCCTTTCTTGGGCACAAAGCACAAAACGATATTGCATTTTGCGTAATGCTTTTTCACACATTTCCAATGCCTGTATTAAACCTGCATCCAGTTGTAGCAAAAAAACCTTGGTCTGTAAACTACCATTTTTGACTTACCTTCAAATCATATACGTAACGGTAGGAATCAACGAAAAAAAAGAAAGAGAAGTAAGAATACATTTAAATCAATGTTAAACTCAATTATAAAGAACTATAGTGTTAAAGATTAGGTTGTAATAAAATAAATATAGTTCGTTGTTGACACATGTGTAACAATAAAAATAAAATATTTTATTATTCTGCAATTTATTTTATTCGTTACAGTCGTTTGTGTTTTACATTTATTCTAGCATTATCGGAGGGAATAGTTCACAGACCCATCGATGACTGTATTTTGTTTGTTAGATTTCAATTTCTTTACGAACTTGAAAAACATTGACATTGTTTATGATTCGCTTTTTTATCAATTCATGACACAAATTATTACAAATATTTCTTGTAATTCGAGATATTACCGCGGCTTTTACTGTAAAATAAAGAAATTTCGAAACAATTCAGAAAACAATGAACGTTCAGAAAACATTTTGGAAATATTTTTAGTATATTAAGTTTTAGTAGTATGTTCCTTAGTATATTATTGGTATGAGAATATAACGGCTGTTACTGTAAATTAGAAAAAGTAATAGATTTTGTCATTGACTACAAATATTGCTGCGATTAGTTTTTCATTTGTAGTGCCAGATATTTAAGTGTTTTGGTTTAAATGAATGTAAATATGTATTATTAGTTTCATCAATTTATTAATTAAGCAGAATCGTCAAAAAATGAATGAAAGTTCAAGCTGTTGACTTCGGAACCTCCCTCCACCTTGGTAATGCAAGGGACCATTTATTCCTCGTATTTATTCCTTGGTATTGATAGGGTTAATGAGTAAAGGATCTCGTGATCAAAGTGGCAAAAATGAACTTTTGTTACTGATGTCTGTAAGAAAGTACAATCTTAGTGGGTATGGAGAGCTACGTCTTAGGCCAGTTCTACTCTCAGTTATTCGTTGTGAATTTTGTGAGTGTTAGACCAAAATACTTACATATTGCAGTATAGAGTCAATATTTGTTTGAAAATAATTTAAAATGGAAGGATGTTCAATAGGTACACTATACTATACGAGTCGACATTTTGCTGAGATAGATTTAAAAACAAAAATATATTCAATAATACATTTTGAAAATCCATTTTTCTCTAAATTATTACTTTGTAAATAACACGTTTTTTGCAGTAATATTAGCCCTAGTAATACGAAGGGCAGCACGTAACAGTGGGTTTAAACAAGAAAGAAGGCACTAGTCCTTTCTGAGAATAGATCGAGTCTCTTGGTATGTGCACCTTGAATGCCTTACGTCTAGAAATGTTGGACACTTCAATAGATTTAATACTTTTGGTATCGATACATACAAAACAAAGTGGCAATATTATAGAACTTTAAATGTTCGTAATCCATTTTCTATTGATATTGATTCTCAATTTCAAATAAGAATATGATATGTATTACAAAATATCTTCAAACACTCTCCAAATACTTTTTAATTATTTGTCAAAAAGCATATTTATTTTTAATAAGTATTGTATAATATTATTAGACAATTTAAAAAATTTATAATCTTATAATTACTAATTTAAATAAGTGGAAATCAAGTATTTTAGAGCTCCTTTTAGAATTGTCACAGCAGAAGATAATGTATCGATACCAAAAGGTACTGATCAGCACCTTCGATATTGTTGTTATAGCATCGATTCCAAGAGATTTCGGGTTCAATAAACACTTTTTGTGTAGCATGAAGGACCTTGGCGTACGCCACTTTTGAACGTCAGCGCATACGAAACTCGAACAGCGCATGCGCAGAGACTCAAAAGTGGAATACGCTAAGGTTCTTAACGCTTATTACAAATGTATCGGTACAGTTAAGGATCACATACACTTTCGTAATATGACCAAGTTTAACCCGTTCGTGATCGCACGTCTATTGTTATAGGAAGGCGCTCACAAGTCTTGTTTTAACCGTTCAGGAGTACCGAGTCTCATTAACGGAACCACATTCGTGAGCACAGGATTAACAAAAGCACCCAGTGTAGGATGACGCGCACAGAAATTCAGAAAGAGAGCAATCTCGAATCCGTGAGAAGAAAATGGTTTTCGTAGTAGTTGTGACTGACGACGCGGGGGCGATTAATTTAGTCATGTCCCCGGGCACCGTCGACAGCTAGTCCAGTTGTTACACCCGTTAGCGCAGTCAATGTTTTCTGCGTGGAGGGAGCGGTGCTCCTTCCCCGCTGGATGGTGACGACCTACCTGTGGGTTTGGGGAGTACGTCCCCCTCCGGATATCTACCCCAGCGGAGCACCGACCAGTTGGTTGTCCGGCATGTATGGTAGTGTGGTGCATGTAAGTGTAATTGTGTGTGAGTAATGAGAGAGGCCAAGGCAAGGAAGAGAAAGGATCGGGGAGGAAAGATTGCGATCAGAGTAGCCGGCCGCTAGAAGGGTTCTCAGTGTTAAAAAGTCACCGCCGGCGGGAGTCGAAATTATGGCGAGAGACGCTGCAGAGACAACAGTAAACCCGACTCTGAGCTAACACAGGTGGTCCGAGCAAACACGAGTGATTGCAATTCCAATTCTGCGGGAGAAAATCATAAGTAGGGGCGGATTTTAATAATTTTGTTTCCTTTTCACTTTAGAACAATGCCGTATAGCTCAGAAAGTAATTTTATGTTATGACTAAAGGAAATATACCAGTTTTATGCATATTTTTTTTCATTTTTCTTCGAATTCTAATAATTAGTAATTTTTTATCTTCTCCTGTCATTTTAATGCAATTTTCGTTGATTTAAATTATTTTAATACCATCTTCATGGTACTTGCTTGAAATAATATTTACGAGAAACAACAAATGTTATCCACTGAATCCCTGAGTAGTCTATTCGATTTCTTCGCTCAGAAATTGTAATGTCAGCCGTTGTAAGTATGTAATCTAAGGTATTTGTGACGTCTACCAGCGCCACTGCCGGTTCGACCGATTTCGGGATAACATAAGATAGAGATTTCCTGGTAAAGAACAATCCAAACAAAGTTTGCAAGCTGAGTGCACTTGAATCAATAGAAGAAGCCTCGACTTCATCAGTAAGGTATCCAGCTTTTGTGCCGGAACTGTTTTTGATCAAATTTTTTTACGTATTCGTTGCTTTTAGGGTATTTTTAAAACATTTTAAAGGCTTTTTATAGAACATGTTAGCTATGATTTAGGGAGCCTTCCCACGTCGCCACGGCGTTCGTGCTTCCTTCAAGCAGCAGAGCCCTTCCGACGCAGCCACCGCCGCAGCCACGGCCGCACCGCCGCCCGTCGTGGAAGGGGGTGGGTTCTGCAGGGGTATGACGCTCCGGCGACATCGAACAAAGGGACCGCAGCAGGTAAAACACAGCGACGGGCGGGCACAGTGGGAAGGCTACCATTTAAAGCTGTATTCTGCTAGCGGTGGCGCGTACGCCCTCCTCCGCTTTTCGTAGCGAGAGAAGCGCGGCGCCGTCGCGACGTGGGAAGGGGTCCTTAGGGCATCCGCCCCCAAGTCATAAATGAAACTAGTAGCCTCCTGTATTCTTGAGAATACGTGTTCACGATAATTCCGAAGATTTGCTCCCAACCCTACGTCAAAGACGGTTATCTACAGCCAAAATGCAAAGAGCAGTGGCCCTCACAAAAGCGACCCTCGGGGAGCGAACAAAGGCAAGCAACGGCCAGGCTGACAACGATGGCGGGAGGTAGGGGGGGGGGGCACGGAGAATCGTCTCTTGGAGTCGGGCGCGCAGAGCTGCGTCTGGGGGCGCCTTCAGGGACGTTAAACACAAGAGGGGCAAACACAGACGGGTAAAGGGTTACGAATTACGAGCCAAAATATGCGCCTGCAAATATGCAAAATAGCTCTAAAATCTTACAAACTGTTTGTCAAGCGAGGCTGCCCGGCAGCGCCTGGCTTAAGGTGGTCGTGCATTAGCGACAACAGCAGTGGGTCTGTCGCCGCCACTGCCTGCCGCACTGTGCGAGCAATTGAAGTACAAAATGATAATGAGCCGCTTTCGCTTATTGATGACATTTCTCGTGGGGCACTCATTTCCTGAATTCTCCTGACTTTTCTCAGTTTTCGAAAGCATTTTAATTTTTTTTCGCCGATACGATTTGTACAGTAATTCACACTATTTAAATAAAATAGTTAGAAAGCTAATTTATCAACTCTCTGATTTTGCCGTGATAAAGTACGACTTAAAAAATCCAACAAATAAAAAGAGACCAAAAAATTATGAAGTACTTGTTTTTTTTAATAATATATAGTTTTATAACCCCATCAAAACTTTCCCGGTATTGTCATCTGACATTACTCTTACACTGCAGCAGGTAGTGGTGGCGATAGATCAACATGCGGCGCGTGCCGCGACCGGACATCTCTTTTGTTTGTGCATGGTCACCTGATCGCGTGGCCATGATAATGAGCCGCGCTCGCCGGTATATGGCGCATTTCCGCATCTGCAGGTGACGTGAGCCCGCTGTTGCCCATCAGGTAGTCTACGACAAATTTACAACCGGAGCGATACAGGTTCATCAAGTGTCTTGGTCGTGAATGCCTAGCGTGAGGTGGCCATACACTAGCAAGCGCGGTTCATTATCTAGTGCATTGCTCTTACACTGCAAGCAGGTAGTTGTGGACCTAAATCAACATGCCAATGGCGCATTTGCGCGTCAGCAGGCGGTGCTGCCCCGTCGCCCGCAGCGGTCCACCCTGGCGGCCGAGTCTGCGCACGGCGCCGCAGCCGCGCCACGCTCCCGCCCCGCGGGCCCCGGCGCCGAGTCGTCCTCCGTGCTCGGAGAGGCCGGCGGCCGAGGACGACGAGGAGGAGGCGCGCGGTGGCGGCGGCGCGGGTGTGAGCGGAGGCGCGGGCGGCGGGCGCGCCCGGCGTGGCCGGAGCGCGGCGGCGCGCAGGGCGGCGGAAGCAGGTCGGCGCGCGTTCGGCGTCGGAGAGCGCGCGAGGGCCCGTGAGCGGCGCGGCGGCGGCGGCGGCCGGCGCGCACCCGAACACGGCCTGCGCCCACCCCAGCAGCCGGTCCAGCACCGCCAGCGTGCGCACCTGCGCGCACACACACACACTCGGATCGACTCGGAGCTTAGCTCAACTCGACTCAGCTCAGCCAAATACTAAAGAGACAATACATCACATTCAGCCATATAACGGGAGACATTTGAAGCGAGTGACCCGACCTGTCGTAACCATTGTGATATCGAGAACGAAGTGTATAAGTTCGAGAGCATTTTAGTTCACTTACGATTATGTTTACTTACGTTTAGTAGAGTGATTCAAAAGCTATTATATGTGTGTTGAAATTTGAATTAGTCGCCGATTTTCCTAGTAATATCATTAGGTTCACTAGTGAGCAATTGTCTCCCATTAAAAGTATGAAAAATATTCAAATATCCTGTATTCTCTACATAGTATTTGGCTCATCACAGATACTGCCGTCAAGCGACCGAGAGTATTTGGCTCAGGTCCATCACAGACACACGATAAGCGGTGCGGCTGTTAGGAAAGCATTGTTATATTATTTATAACAACAATAATTATTACATTATTATAAGTATTGTTGGGACACTGTGTTCATTAACCATCCGGATACATTATGCTTCAATAGTTTTTTAGACCACTAAACTTTTTTATTACTGATTTATTATTGAATAATCAACATTTTGCATCGCTTCGGGAAACGTTCTTTCCATCTTCGAAAGTCCCGACTAAAAACACAAATAACACCTAATGACGTAAAAAACTATAAAACACACAAATTGAAAGTAACCTATCAATGAGTAATTATGCTCAACTGAATGTATAAAATGCGTGGGCGGTACCTGGTTTCGCGAGTAGTGGATGTGGCCCTGTCGCTCGAGCTCGCGCCCGCCGCGCACCGCCAGCCCCACCCACATGTTGAGCAGCGCCAGCACGGCGATCACCACGAACAGCTGCTGCATCAGCCCGCCCGCCACCTACGCACAGCACCCGCTCAACACACGCTCAACAGTCGCTCAACACTCGCTCAACACTCGCTCGACACTCACTCGACACTCGCCCAACACTAGCTCAACACGTGCTCAACACTCGTTCCACACTCGCTCAACACTCGCTCAATGGACGAAGCAAGACAAGAAAGTACACTAGAAAGGAAGAAATAAAAAGAAAATAAGGGCAGGAATAACGAAGAGCAACGAAAAATTGTAAGGAAAGGAGAAAAGGAAAAAAAAACTTAAGCACCACCTACTTGGGGATATGTAGTACAGTACTTTTTCTGTTTCAACAAAGTGTATTTTCGTTTAAGAATATTGGTATTTTTATCTAGAAAATTCGTTTCAGTTTATTTTATTTTTTTAGAAATACCTGCTGTTTTTATATTTTGTATAATTATTATTAATAGATATTTATTTAATGTAAAATACATTTCGATGTCATTAAAAAGCCCAAAACATTACTCACCACACATAAGAGAATCAAAGGGTCAGATGACTAATACGGCATCAACATGGAAAGAAAGATCAGTGACGATCGAAAAGAAAGATTTTGTGATTAATACAGAGCAGAGGGATCACCAGCATGTCGGGCGGGAACTAAAGGGTCGTTTTACGCCCGAAGAGCTCATCAGAATGTTGGATCTTGCACAGGTTGATTGATGCTGAAAGGGTACATCAGGATGTCGGGTGACAACGGTCCATTTGGTACCTGGAGAAGTTACAGTCTGTCGGGCGTAGAAAGAGAGAACTGTTCCCAGATTCCTAACAAGTTTGTTGTAACAAGTGAGTCGGGAGGAAGATAGTGTTTGAACAACGGCGAAAGAGCTCACAAAAATGTCGGGCGGGAGCACGAGCGGGTTGATTCCGGATGACTATCAATAATGCTGTAACAACTATGTCTGGATGAAGCTAAGATTTTGATGACGCCAACAAGGCTCACCAGGATGTCGAGTGAGAGCACAAGCTGATTCCTGAATGTCTAACATGTACTTTCTAACAAGAACTTGGGAGGAAGCTAAAGGTTTCGATGACGCCAAAAGGTATCACCGGGTTGTCAAGCGTGAGCCCGAAATGGTTGTTCCCAGATGCCCACAAGTATCTTGTAACAAGTATGTAATCTAAAGGTTTGGAAACGTCAAAATACACATCAGGACATCGCGTCGGAAGGGGACGAAGAGTAGATATTTTTTGCAGAAGTCTAACAAGTACATCGGGAAAAAGTTAAAGGTTTAGACGACGCCAAAAGTACTCACCAGAACGTCGCGTCAGAAGGAGACCAAAATAGGTTTGTTTGCAGAAGTCTAACAAGAACATCGAGAGGAAGTTAAAGGTTTGGACGATGCCAAAAGTACTCACCAGGACGTCGCGTCAGGAGGGGATCAAGAGTGGGTTATTTGCAGAAGTCTAACAAGCACATCGGGAGGAAGTTAAAGGTTTGGACGTCGCGTCGGGAGGGGAATAAGAGTGGGTGGTTTGCGGAAGTGTAACAAGTACATCAGGAGGAAGTTAAAGGTTTTAACATCGTGTCGGGAAGGAAGGAAGAGTGAGTTTTTTGCAGAAGTCCAACAAGTACATCGGGAGGAAGTCAAAGGTGTGCACGACGCCGGAAGGACTCACCAGGATGTCGGGCGGCAGCACGGGCGGGTCGTCGCCGGGCCCGGCCGAGCCCCGGAAGAGCGGCGTGCCCGTGAGGTCGCCCTGCAGCAGCATGAGCGTGGTGCTGAGCGAGGCCTCCCACAGCGTGCGGAAGCGCGCTTCCGGGTCGCCGCCGTACAGCAGGAAGAAGGCCACGCTGAAGCCCGTCAGGATGAAGGCGAACACCAGCAAGTGGTCCACCAGCTTGCGCATGATGTACTGGAACATGGCGAACTTGTAGTTGATGGCCGATACCACGTTGGTGAAGTGCAGCACGGCCAGCCACGACATGATGAAGCCGAACACCAGCAGCGGCCGGTAGTCGCTCGCGAGACCCGCCAGCGTCACGATGGCCGGGCACACCTGCGGGCCAATTACGGCGGGGGACGATTAACATGATGGCGGACGGAGATGGACAGAAAAACAGACAGACAGCCATTTTGACGTCAACCAATTTTTCAATCACACATAACGTGAATGGTGACTACACTAAATTCTATACGCGACATTTAATAGCGTAGTTTTAATTCAACTTATCCTTAAAATATGCAATATGCACTGAGATCCATTTTTCATACCCTCCTCCCAACACTTTAGACAAAGTAAATAATAAATTTTCTCTAGGAGATCCGAAGAATGCACTAGAAACAAACAGAAAATATAGCATGGGTTACTAGACCCAACGCAACTAAACGCGTTGCAATGAAATAGAAAGTCTAACGAAGGATTAAAGACTTGATAACTAAGTTAACCCTACGCATTTTTGGACACACTGGGTTCCATATATCTTCACAGGGACGAAGAAGAGAGAATAAGTTTAATTTACTATACATACGAACAATATTTATCCACTTTTTTTGTAACTACGAAGGCGCAGTAAGAATTCCCTGGGCAAACATTCAGCGATTTCCTATACACTATTACAACACTTTCCATTCACAATGTATACGCAGCAATGCGAGATAGTAAAAAATAACACCATTACGGTGGCTGCGTCCAAATTTGACATAAATACATCTGATCATCAAAATAGAGTATTTGCGATTCAAAATATTACCCTACATGTTTTTACTTTCTCGCTACGGAGTACCGTGAGAGGTCTGTAAGTCTAAAAACGACGAATTTTCGTCAGAAAAACTTTTATTAGAAGGCCCTGGTAACGATAAAGTGGATAAATCCAGTTGCTAAATTTTAAAAAATCCTCTATCACTTGGTGTTGCCAGAATCCACGTTTTGTAGTTCCATGATATCGAAAAATCGAATGATGACAAAACGTCTGGTTGTCCGTTTGTGAAAAACGGTAGCGGTTAAACCATTCAACCGATTTCCTCCAAAATTCATATGCCCCAATCGATTTGACAGATGTCGTAGCCCTTTGAATTTGAAACTGGTATTAGAATTTTAGGGTTAATTTGCAAGAAATCCCTGAAACATTTTTAAAATTTTTAAAAAATAGCACTATCTTTTTTATTACATTGTGTTGTCGGATAATGCGAAGGACGTTTAAGAGAATGGTGCAGGTCACATGTTCGTTAAAAATTCCGATTTTTCAAAAATTTTAAAAGTTCAAAATTTGTTCGCGTTCTTCCTATAAATACAATTATAAAGATAAGAATTTTTTCTCTTAACAAAATATGTCCGTAAAAGATAGATTTTGAAATAAGTACATGTACAATTTTTAGAAAATTGGAATACATTCCGCGCAGTTGCGTGAAATTACAGGCGAGATAGTACGCGCAGTTTTAGCACTTCTAGTTTAAAATGTTGTATTAAATGCTTTCCCAGTGCGTCTTGCGCCATTGTCCCCGGGCGTTGCAGGGTGACGAGGGGCGAACCGGTTAAAGCGGCTGAACAGAGAGAACGGCCAGAGCGGACGGCCAGAGCGGAACGAAAGAGGGAGGAGGAGCGGAGCGAGTGGGGCGGAAGACGCGGGCAGAGCGGAAGGAGAGTTAGAAGTGGGCGGAACACAGGAGCGGTATAAGGAGGCGGGGTGAAAAAGCGGGCGGATCGAGATGATCGGGAGGAATAATGTGAAATAGGTTTGATGACTGGTAGGTTGTTAGTGAATCCGGGAGCGTCAACTACTAGGGTCATTAGTCCCGTAAGTGTACTGTATGGTTTTGCTCCGGAGGTGGCAGTGACCTTTCTCCTCTGGATGGCGAATCCGGTGCCGATCTACATAGGCTTCATGGAATGTTCCCCAACCAGGTATCTCCCACCAGCGGGGACAAGCTCTAAGCTCCCAACCGGTCTCCCGGCATGCGTGGCAGTGTAAGTGTGAGGATAAGACAAGGAAGAGGAAGGAAAGATCGCGCGCGGTCCGTGGTCTGTTTGTTAGGGTACTGCTCGTGTACTCGCGTGGTGTGGAAAGGGTTGGATGAGCGGGGCGGAATGTGTGGGCAGGGAAGTGATGGGAGTCAGGGGAGAGGTGGTTGTGTGATAAAAGAACACCCGGGCAATGCCAGGTAATCAGAGAGTTGTTCAATAAAGGTTTCTTTCAATGACACCAAAAGCACCCGCGGCATGCAGCCCAACTGCCCAAGTTGCCAAACTAGTATTGCAGCCTCTTAACTCAAACCCCACTCTTCAACCACTACAATGACCATTATATTAATTTCACACGATACCCAGAAAGGTTAAAAAGACTCACTGTAATTTAACGACGAATTTAACGTTGTTTTAGAAAATGTTCGACCATGTGCTCAGCTACAATCAACGTCTTATTAAAATTACGTACCGCAGTTTTAGAACTGGTAAGAAAAGATTGGTGTTACCAAATTCAGTAATGTTGGAAGGATTAACTACTACTACGTTATATCTACGATAAATAATGAAAAATAATCAAGATATTAGAACGCTAGAAACAAAACTAAAGCAATGTGGAATATCGTAAAAAATACGACCACATCATCTCGTTACTCGGCAGAGAATGTTGTTTTAAAGGATAATGAAAGAGAAGCAAGTAATCCGGAAAAAGTGGCAAATCTCTTGAACCAACACTTTTCTAGAATTGCGGCTGAACTCACGAAGGGACTAAAACCGCAAAAATTCAACATCATTACCTTCCAAAAAAATGTTCGACACTGTGTTTATTTCCGAAACTTCTAACGAAATCCTGAGAATAGTCAGGAAACAAAAAAAAAAAAATCTCCACGTTATATAAAATGCCGAGATTTTAAAAACCGCTAAAGAAATGTTAAATTTCTCTTACTCCGTAGGCTAATAGCGACTTTAAGGGTCTTTCTTATAATAAAGAATAACTTCATTTCCGCCGGATTTAGTAGGCGCTTCTTAAATATCTGCGACTTTAAATTTTTGCTCTAGAAACAGAGTCCACCATCTTCCACAACATTTTTTAGAAATTAGCATACGAGTATACTAATTTGATGATATTACAATTTTCTTTTAATCTACCATTGACCTCAAAACTTAATAATAATTTTAAATTATTAACATTTACAACTTTTCTGCTAATTTACTATTAAAATATGCAACTCACTTCTAAAACGCCTCATACTTTTGTGTCAAGCCTGCAAAAGTTTTAATATTATACTATATAAAATGACTTCGATTTCTTAGAATTTAAATTATTGCCAAATTTTATCACAAGTTATGAAAAAATTGTTTTCTTGCAATACCCTTTTTCTATCAAATGCACTGAACATAAAAGTACATTTAATTCAAGATGAATTTAAACCTTTGTAAGTTGTACATATGGTAAATGAAGGAAGATGAAACCTTCAGAGGTTGATCCTCTATGATTGAATGTACGTGTATTTCGTGTCTCCAAAAATCGTATTCACAGTACATACAAACAGAAATATTCATCCAAATCATCTTGATATACTTTATTGTAGGTTTTATTATCAGTAAAAGAACTACAAGAATAATGTGCCACGAATTCTCTTATTTACTCGGTTAATAAAGCATAACATACTAATAATAGGTGTACGCAAGTAGGGGGGGGATCAAATCAACAAATTAATTTTAAATTCAAGATGCACAAAAAATCCTTTAAAAGGAGACATCAAACCTCGATACATTAGACCTCTACCCCCTAAAAAAAACTGGTTGTGCCACTGCGAATTAAGTTACACAGTTTCTTCCATATTCTATACATATTTAATTTGAGAAGTTAGTGTGTCTTGAGCCCCCGTGCCGTAGGGTCTTTTCAGCTCAGCGCAGCGCCCCTCTGTACCTGCTCCTGGCTACCTGCCGCCTTTCACCTGGGGATCGTGCAGGCCGGCGAATGGAAAGATCTGCCTACAGCAGATGGCTGCGCAGGGAGGAGGGGGAGGGGCCAGTACCTCGCCCATATTATGTACATGGCGTCGCTAGAGGCCATCCGCCAGGACAACTCACTCACTGAAAAGAACCGGCTCTTTTGATGGCTTCTTTTTTCTTTTTCTAAACTAAATGTAGTATATTGACGATTACTAACCAATTTTAACTTTAATTTTTTCTCACCGCTCATCCTCTTATACATTTATTTCAATAAATTTATATTAAATCTCCTTATTTTTGAGGAAAAATGTTTAAGTTTGATTTATTACAAATGGACAATTACTTTCTATTAAATAAACTAAATAATCAATTAGTGTAATATTAATAAACAGGTACTATTCTACCAGGCGATTTAAAAACTAAATTCAAATGCACGATAATAGTTCCTTAGGCCACGTGTCACTATCGTGGCATACAGGGTCGTGACGTTTGTTACAATGAATGTATGATATTCCCTACCTAAGTAAGGCACGTTTCTATTGCATTTTTAATTGTATAATTTTTAATTTTGTGTCGTTGGTAGCGTGTAATTGTAATAATTAGTATGGTAAAGTATTTAAACCTGATAGAGAAACAAAATCTCGAGACGTTGGCAAACAGATTTGTTGGCAATTTCCATTTACATACGTCAACCCGTTATCAACACGATGGAAACGTCTTTGAACCAAATACAATCATGGACAATCAGGGAGTTGCTTATTTGTAGCTTCACTCATACTTGACGTGGTATGTTATGGTTTTACTATGCTTGATTCAATTATTGCTCCCGTAGGAGCTTACAAAAATTGCCACGGCCGTCGGTATTTCACGACGTCCAGGCGGGGTATTGGGTAAAGTTTTCAACTAGCAATAACCACACCTCAGTAAACCTTCATTGGTTATGGTATTGCCACTGCGCAAAGCTAACGATGGAAGTAATTCATACGTATTACTAATGCAACTGAAAAATATAACTTATGGAACGTTATAAATCAATCTAACACAAAAAATTTATGGAAAGTACTTCGTACATAATTTTACTTCACAATATAGAGAGCATTTTTCTGCGTCAAAAATACTGAGTGTTTATATTATAAATT